AGCTGAGAAATACATGAACTCATAAAATCGAGGGATGACCTTTAAAAAAAACTCATAGAAATGCTACCAGGAAGACACCTCAACCGTGCTAAGACTGATGATGCTTATTCAAGGTACACAGCAGTGGGGAAGTTCCTCACAAGCAGAAATCATAATATAGTCATTTTATGCCTAACAAAATGATAGCTCCTCTTCTTGCTATCGTTTTCTAAAGGACCCACAAAAGGCTTTGTTGAGCTAAAGAGATAACTGGTAAAACTGATCTTCCCTCGGTTAGCTTTGTTCATCTGCCAGCCTTTTCAAGACACCTCTTTACCTCTCTCTCTGTTCTTTGCCTGCTTAGTTCCTAGGCTTTCCCCTGAATTCTTGACTCAGTTTTGAACTTTGACTCCTAATTGTCTTTCAAATTCCACCTCACTCTCTAACACACCGGGACACCAAGAGAGGCAGGAGCAAGGCAGGGTTCTGCATCCAGTTAAAGTGCGAGATGCTGTTGCAGTTAACGGCATCAGAAGCCTGTCTCTCCCACTCCTTCCTCCTGCAGACATGCCTTCCCTCTGCTTTTCTTGCACCAGCACTGATAGTCTTAGGCCCCAGACATTCTGGGAGTCTAAATGAGTGTAAATAAGCCCAGAAGCGTTTTTTGTCTGTTTTTAGTGTGGTGTAGCTCCCCTGGCTGGACAAGCATGTGTGTGAGCACAAGCAGCTGTGGGTGAGAGGTGCTGGGGTGGCAGGAAGGCTGCTGCCAGCAGGGGCCTAGTAGGCATGAGGGCCTCATGGCCCTCAAGCCTTCTGAAGGGCTGAGGCCTCCCCTGTGCCCTAACTGCAAGCTGCAGGCCCCCTCTCCATGGCCCCTGTGTGCTTGGGTGACACTACGACATGACCCCCAGCTCTGCGGGGGAGGGGCGCGTCACGGGCGCCCGCTGTTAGGGCACACAGTCCCCCAGTTGGGGGGGCAGGGCTGCCCTGGGAGCATGCGCCCCTGTCGCCCTGTCCATAAGATGCTCGAACCGCCAACTGCCCCAATTCGAATTCGCATCCTCAACGCCCAATCACGGCCCATGGGGCGGGATTGGCACCACCTCCTACCAGTCTCCCCACCAATA